CGCGTCAGAAGTCCCTCCTGAGGGGTATAAAGCTTAAAATACAACCAAATAAGCGTACGCGTAACAATGAAATATAGTAAAATGAACCAGTTAAGTATAATTGAATTATGTTTCACCACTAACTTTACATGACATTACCACTGAATGATTTACCTGTAATTCATGAGTTAATACTACGAGGCCGAACATTGCGGAAGGTTCTTAGGCATCTATAATCAGAGTTATCAAATAATAATCTCCTAATTGTGGATTTCAGATTAATTTAATGAAATAAAACATATAAACACATTAGCGCTACAAATTATTCCGTCAAACCTGGTCTGCTCAAAATTATACATTCAACATGCGCATTTAACTACCAATTGCAATCATTTTATAGTCGTTATACCAGGAACCATACTAGACCAGTTTAAATAATGCGCGTGAAAAAGAACTTTAAACTCATTCATGCTCGGGGAAATGCCGGGGGGTCGCGCGCACCCCAGACTCTGGGGGATCCAAACCCCTCAGAGCCTCCCTGCGGCTTAGCTCCAGCGTCCAGGATCTGAGATCCAGATCCAGGAAGATGGAGATCCAGATCCTGGACGGTCGAGATCCAGATCCTGGACGGTCGAGATCCAGATCCTGGACGGTCGAGATCCAGATCCTGGACGGTCGAGATCCAGATCCTGGACGGTCGAGATCCAGATCCTGGACGGTCAAGATCCAGATCCTGGACGGTAGAGATCCAGATCCGTGAAGGTAGAGATCCAGATCCAAGAAGGTAGAGATCCAGATCCTGGACGGTCAAGATCCAGATCCTGGACGGTAGAGATCCAGATCCAGGAAGGTAGAGATCCAGATCTAGGACGGTCGAGATCCAGATCCTGGACGGTAGAGATCCAGATCCAGGAAGGTAGAGATCCAGATCCAGGAAGGTAGAGATCCAGATCATGGACGGTAGAGATCCTGTCTCTTATACACATCTAGATGTGTATAAGAGACAGACCCAGTTTGGCCAAGGAAACAGGCCTATCAATGCTTCTTGCCGAAAGTGTGTCACTTTTTTGACATTATGACTCATACATTTGTCAGAGTGCATGGCTGGACAACGAGGATGCCAAAAGTCGAGATGGTTCAAGGCAGTCGTTAGCTTTTATTTCGGGCAAACCTTTCTCGTTCTATGCATATTAACATCGTGGCCGCGACGTGAAATGTGACAAACATACTAATTATGACTTGAGAAAAAAGTTTTTATTCCTAACCATAATATTAGCTTTTACATTGCCGCGACAACACTTGCATTCTTGTCGCGACAACACTCGCACTTTCGGAAATTAATGAGGTACTTGACTTGGTCCTTCTATTGGAAAAATGGATTAAGCTCCTAACCCGAATTACCACAAGTTGATAAGCCGTATCCTCAACACTGAAAACAGTCGACTATCTGATAACTATCAACAAGTCATCACGTAACGTCATTGGACAAGGCGCTGCATGGTAACCCGAGACCAATTACACATCTCAGTCAGCACTCACGGTAGAACTTGACGTAGTCTTGCACTGCCCTTAAGAATTGTTCAGTATTGACGTCGCCGTCCACAGGCTCAGGGAAGGGCACACGCTCGGGGGAGTTGAAGAAGTTGTCCTGCCGCCTGTGAGGGTCTTGTGTAGGCGGGGCCTGTGTGGATGGGGCCTGTGTGGATGGGGCCTGTGTGGATGGAGCCTGTGTGGAAGGGGCCTGTGTAGGCGAGGCCTGTATAGGCGAGGCCTGTGTAGGCGAGGCCTGTGTAGGCGATGCCAGTGTGGGCGAGGCCTTTGTCGGCGGGTCCAGCTCTTTTATCTGCTGCATGTTAATCACATGACAGGAAACCTATTTTCGAGTTCTTAATTAATGCATGGTACTACAGGTGCAGGAAGATAACTGATCTTGCATCACCTTTTAGCGACTGTCAATGACGAGAAAGTGCTGGTCTAAGCCAAAAGTAAGGCACGGTTGGAAATTGTACGCAAACAAAGATGTCCGAATTATAAATAAAAAAGTAGGGCTTCTTCTAAGAAGTTAATAAAATTCCACAATCAATGAATTACGTTATAAATTGAGCTCNGTTGGAACTGCGTTGTCACACTCTGACAAAAGAGCGAGACTTTGTCCCAAAAGCTTTGCACTTTAAGACATTGTAAATGAATAACAATCGTCTTGGGCATCATCATCCAAGGAACATCTTCCTTAATATTCACATTTCAGGCACTGGTTTCTCTGGACTCAGTTAATCGGTCGATGATAATAGCTTTGAGACCGAAGTTTTGAGGCTTCATACAGCTGTAAACTCAATGATATTGAGAAGATTCAAATAAGTAATCCAAGAAATTCTTTCAACATAGAAACCAGAAAATCAAAACCAGCAGTACAAGTGAAGCATAAAAAACATAATACATCGATATTGCTTCATTTCAGCTGCACGACTAGCTGTGTAATTGTCATGTATTTATTACCGTAATTACCAACGGGCTCGTATTAGTTACCGCATGATAGATGAAATATGAAAATTCCGAGATCAATTTTGACACAGTAGGAATTAATTCGTAAAAAAATTCAGAAATTCTACTGCAAAGGCGCAAATATTCACAAATTACCTAATAATTTAAATAATTTAATAAACTCCACGCAAATTTACAAACACATTACAACATCTAACAAAGTTCTATATTTTTGCCAAGGAAATAACTGGTGTCAATCCAAATAATTCATTTCTCGCCAATATTTTTTCAGTACTGCATGAATATACAATTTCTTAAAGTAAGATACTAGAAACACGTTAACGTATCGACTTCAAACACAGATGGTGCTACTTAGATCTTAATAAACTCTAGTGCGTTCAAAATACTCTACATTGCTCCACTATATAATATTACATTTTATGGAGCTTACATTCGTGTATAGACCTCTAGTAAATATACAGTATTGAAGAGCAAATTCCTGTACACTGTGGTCCGAAGGTAGCAACATGGCCTGCAAACGCGTCGGTCAACTGTTAGTCACTGCACCGAAATTCTTCTTTAATTTCAGAACATAATTCGGTATAATATAATAATATTCGATATATTAATGCTGGTCGCAAAACACAGATCATAAAATTGTGATTACCTCGTCGTTGACAGTTTAATAGTGACTTTATTTTAATGAAGTATAGAAATATATTAAAAGCCGTGAAGTTGCGGTATCCATAATCCACTAATTTTATATACAACCGTGAAATATTCATCGTTCTTGGTACACATTAGTTCGCTTGCACTAAGCTAATTACAAGTAGTGAGCAACAAGTAAATTCATCATGTCTTTACGATGCTAATAAATACAACGTTTCATACGCTCAGGTAAGAAATTCCTACTAACAGGTTGGCAGACCATCACAGAGTTCCCTGAAGTCGATCATTAATTCTGGTATGTGGCATCATTAAAACAATGGTAAGCATTGAACACGCAATGGTAGTGAAAAGGTAGAAATTAACACTGCGACTGTATACGTGGTTATAAACAGCACAAATTTCAAGCATCTACCACATTATTCCCACTGAAAAACCTACCTTTGATTAGTACATGAATACTTGTCCGAAAACTCACTAGTATTTCAGTTTTAGTATCCGAGCAAAATAATTCATATCGTGAAAGATTAGGGACATTTGACAACAAAGCGATCTAGCCGAGTGAATGAACATATATTTAATTATCAGCAAGAAACGGAAAGGTCAATGGTATCAAGTAACTGATTTGTAACGGGCGGCAGTTTTTCACTATCCCTTGTTTTTATTTCTCTGTATTGCTCGCTTGCACTTCTAGGCCTCCAAGTGCAACCGAACCGATCTGCGGCAAAGGTGGAGAAGTGCTAGCAGGTGGTGCCACTGCAGGTGGTGCCACTGCAAGTGGTGCCACTTGCTAGAGCTTGCTCCACCTTTGCCGCGGATCGGCCCGNCAGACGAGCCTGCAGACGGAGCAGCTCAGGTACAGACGACGCCTGCAGACGGAGCTGCTCAGGTACAGACGACGCCTGCAGACGGAGCAGCTCAGGTACAGACGAGCCTGCAGACGGAGCAGCTCAGGTACAGACGACGCCTGCAGACGGAGCTGCTCAGGCACAGACGACGCCTGCAGACGGAGCAGCTCAGGTACAGACGACGCCTGCCACATCACGAGTGGCGAGGCGTGAGGCGTCCGCGGGGGGCGCTACTCGCCTGCTGGAGGAACATCAAATCCATCAGACATGTTCAATGGATTGAGGACAACTAATAATCTCACAAGGCATACAACTTCAGGAAAATTTGTCATTGCTATCAACACAAAATATTCTGCTTTTGGGCGTGTGAATTTCAACCATACACATACCCAAAATACGAGGTTCTTTATAAAAATTATAATGCACTTCGCTTCTCCCGCAATACTAAGAAAAAATCTGTAACTCGATAAAATTTGAAAGGTTTTCATTTCTGTACATTAACAAAATTACCTTGATTCTAAATTTAATATGGTCCTAATGAATCGCATACAAAGTATACTAGGTGTTTGCATTCATTGTTGAACAGAATCTGTTTGTGGAAAGCTTACCGTACATCTGTTTTCTTATTCAACAATATATATTTTCCTTCTATGAAATTAAATTATCAATAGATCTATTCATAACAAAACGAAATCATACTAAATCGTTCTGAATTTGATTTTCGAAACTTCGTAACGTATACTTTAGATTTTCGGCATACAGATGACGAGCAAGTGCTTCCCTGGAGGATACCAGTGGCTTTAACCTGCTACTCGTTGACAAGGAAGTGGTAGACGAACATCTGACCTGCTACTCGTTGACGAGGAAGTGGTAGACGAACATCTCACCTGCTACTCGTTGACATGCTAAATACCATAAAAAGACATGTGCTAAATACCATAAAAAGACATATGTTATATACCATAAAATGACATATGACCATAAAAAGATACATGCCAAATACCTCGAAAAGACACATGCTAAATACTATAAACTACCGAGAGTAGAAGCGTCGAGTTTGTTCTCATGTCTGTGGACGAGCAGCTCGTTGAGGAAAGCCATGAGGTACGTGAACACGTTACGGTGGTAGTCCGGCATCTGTGATACCACCTGCACACGAGTTAGCAGGCTTTGTGTGATGTATCTCTTGCACTCATTACTTGGTCTGTACTAACGCAGAGCACGTACGAAGCAATGTCGATTGTTCAGCAATGTATATCGACTTGTATATTCGTACGTAATAAACTTTTTCTACATTGGCGTGTGGAGCTCACCACAATACCTACCAATTAATTTTGGTATGTACTACATAACATTATTTAGCATTTATTTTGGTAAATAATATATACCAATTTTATATCATATTTGAAAGATAATATAGTTTTAGTATAATGACGGCCATGCCAGTCTATTTCTACCAGGCAGAAGCCTCATTTCGGAGGTGAGCATGAGAGGGCGACCTGTTTGGCGGGGAGGTATCCCTCAGCGGCGGCCCTCAGGGCAGCGGGGTACAGGCTGCAGGGCACGACGGGCTCAGGCAGCGCCTCCAGGAACACCAGCAGCGCCTGCGCGATGCTGTGCACGCTTACGCCCAGCTCACGGGACGGCATGCCGGCGTCCAGCGCCGCTCTGTACACAATCAATCTTACAACAGTGGCGTAGTGGCGTACATATACGCGTATTTTATATGTGGCCTACATATGCGGCGTATTTTAAATGTGGCCTACATACAAGGCGTATTTCAAAAGTGGCGTAAATATACGGGTTTCGCTATTAGTGCTTTCATGGAAAAAAATTTCTATTGCTTTTATTTTCTATGTTTCGTGAATAAAGAGAATTCAATGATGTAACTGCTTTGAATGAAGTCATATTCATGTAATTTCTGCATGGATGAGGTCGTGCATGTTCTATGTTTCACGACATGGACAATAAAAACGATACGAAGATAGTAAACATCAGTTTCATGACCTTCCCAAATAATCAGTATTACTACCAGTGCTATTTACTTCTGGTAGTGAAAGCAAAGCCAAAATATAAATATATTCAGAATTAAGATCACTTGATTGCTTAAATCGCAAATTCACGAAAGAATTTAAAAGCAAAGAAAACGGTGAAAAAAGTCACCATTTCTCATGCGAGAAAACGTTCTGGAGTCCAGCTCCATCGTCAGTTCAAAAACCTAAAACACAAGTACAAACAATTAGCGAACTAAAATTCACATTGAAGATATTAAGAAATCAATTGTCAAATGAAAACAAATAAGAATGAGGCAAAAGTGAGCAGACAAACCTATCTATTTACAATTTATAGGGGATGTGAGCTGCAAGCAGCATTTACACTAGGCTTTCGTTTAAAAATATATAGGGACACTAAAATTCGCAGGTCAGAAAAACCGGTTGTGGAGGCTAAAACTCTAAAATCCCTATCGGAAAATAACTCCATGATAAATTTGATGGACTTGTGTTGGAGATTAAGAAGATCAGAATAAAAGCCTTCATGAGAGGGATATTTGAAAATGAAAAAAAAGTGTCATCGACATATCGGTTATAGAATAGTGGCTAAAATCATCATCAAGAGGACAATTGGCCAGCCACGTAGCCTCGTGAAAATACATGAAAATGTTAGTAAAGGTGGGGCCGAGAGGAAGACCCAGGCCCAAACCATCGATTAGTCTATACAACCTACCAGTAAATACAAAAATTGAGTTTAAAACAGATAATTCAAGAAGAGATAAAAAGTTGCGAATCAAATCCATGACACAGTCATTGACACTTTTAAACAAAGAACTTAGGTAGATATCGATACTTTCATGGAGGGGTATATTGGTAAACAAATTTTCTACATCAAATGAAGCCATAGTCAAGTCCTGAACATTATTAACATTCTTTAAGCGATCCACGAACATGTAAGTATTGTCTACGGTATACTGATTATAATTAGTGGTGGGACAGTTCAAAACCGGAACTAAAAATTTTGCGAGTCTGAAACTCGGTTTATTGAAAGCAGCAAACATTGGGCGGAATTGAAATTTCAATTCGAAATCTGGTTTGTGAATTTGGGCAAGCCATTCAAAAAATCAGGACAAGTGAAAGAGGGAGGCATGAAGTTTGAAGTAAGTTTCAGATGAAAGTGCTACGGAATCTTTAAGTTTTCGTAGGAAATTATTAATTTTGTCCACAACCTTCAAAATAGTTTTAGCAATTGGATCTGTAATTTCGATAAATTTAGGAGGGTCTGTAATGAGAGTAGAAAGGCTACTGTTGTAACGATTACGGTCAACTAATACAACGCCCTTGCCCTTATCTGGCTTACAAATGATTAGGTCCTTATTTTTGGCCAAGTCCTTTAACAGATGGTGTCACGGGGTTGGAAAACAGACTAGAAAACTTTATAAGCTTTGAAACCCGGTAAGCTAGGCTTTGCAAGTTGCCAAAAATTCAGGACGATTGGCAATAGAAACATTTTGTATGCTAGGAGTAAGTATTTAAAAGGCTAAAAAGTATTTATAGAAGTCCAACTTAAAAACAGGAAGACAGAAATCAAGGCCGAATAGCCAGCAAGAAATCAAGGCCGAAAGCACGAGGTTCCAAGTTGTATGAAATAAAATTGAAAACGAATTTATCAGAGTCATAGGGATGGATTTCATAATGGATACCGAGGTGGCTAAGTCTCTTCTGATGGATCTGACTCGTAGTTTTCTCGAATGATTCAGTTAGACTTCTGGGATGTTGACGGATAGCGAAGGCATCAACAACGGAAGATAAATGCCCAACCCGTGCTTCACTTTCGGCGGTCAAATAGGTTAAATTCTTCATCGGTTAAATTCTTCACAAGTTCCTTGGAAAGGAACTTGTGCTGCTATGACTTATAAAATGACGAGGTATGCAGACAACTTTTGTAGAGTCTGAACCTCAGAAACTTAGATAAAACACTTAGGAAACTTCAATGTGGATTTTAGTTAGCGAATTGTTTGTACTTGTCTTTTAGGTTTTTGAACTGACGATGGAGCTGGACTCCGAAACGTTTTTCTTGCATAAGATGATTCTTTGCTTTTGCACGATAAGATTTTTTGCTTTTAAACGAAGATTCTTTGCTTTTAAATTCTTGATGAATGTATTCATGCATGATGGTAGCACAGCCAGAGAGTACATTGGTAGGGGCGGGCAGGGGGCGCTGTGTGTGAATGGACGTACCTGGTGGAATGAGAGTGAGGAATGTTTTGTCTGTGTTGAGGGTGTGAATGGTATGATGTGATGTGGGTATGAAGAAAACTGCGGTGCACCTGATAGAGGAATGTGATGCGCGTGAGAGAGCAGTACGGGTTATGATGAAGGCTATTAAGATTGACGATGATGAGGGTAAAAGCGTGGGGTATGGAAGGAAGGAAAGAAGCGGTGTGGACTGCCGTTGTTGTGTATTTAAATAGTTATTCTTACTCAAGTCCCATGGAATAGCTATATAAATATATTATTTAAGGCAATGGAATGAGAGGAAATTCTGACTACATGAGATATCACGTCTTATTCATGTGGGTGGAGCACTGTCTGTCCTAGAGAGTAATTATACTTAAGATAGGCAAGACGTAAACCCAAGTCACCGCGGCACAACATACCAAGTATTCCCACCAGCACAAGCACCACCACCAGATATTAACCTGATCTCGCAGAGCTCCTTGCTGAGACCTGGTCTGGTGAAGAGGCCCTCAGTGCTGAGGGCGTGCGAGTGTAGGTGGTCCACGAGGTACCACAGCTCCTTAGGGATTGCGTAGGGCAGCTCCAGCGTCTTCTGAGGGGCGCTGCTCTCCTGAGCCACAAAATATTCATTGTGAGCTACGAGGTAAGGTTCAGTATATGAAGAAGCATTAATATATAGTTCAGTATAAGATGGGCGCAATTGTGATTACAATGAAGCATTTATATTATACATGTTGGTCAGAGCTTCAATTCCACTTAAATACTCCATTTCCACTTTGTAATATGTAACATGAGGAAATAAACTGAAGAATTTCTGCGCTGGTAAACAAAAACGCGGTAATTGTGAGTTGTTATTACACATTAAGATGAAATCTGGCTTCTGGATTAGGTAAAAAAGTTGTTTCTAATGTTCATCACTAAACCAAACAAGCCTAGCTGGAACATAATTACAGTTATTTGAATGATTATTTTGATACACTCTATAACATGAATCATCTTTCTTGTACATTTTCGGGGCTATCATCGCAGCCAGAATAATTCAAGTAAAACAATAATCATATAAATATATTTAGAATAATATCAGTTCCTGAAGGGAAGATTTATCGTCCATAACACCTATTAGCAACTTTCAAGTAAACAGTAGCTGGTAGGAGCGGTACAAGGTTTACCAGGTCGATGAGCTGCGCTACAGGCACCTCGCAGAAGGGCTTGTTGAGGTGCACCAGCGCGTTGATGGACGACCCGAAGCAGCTCCTCACGTAGTCTCCTGCAGTAATGTGCGCTTTTAATATATTAATTGATCTTTGCTGCATATATCATAAAATAAAAGATTATGCAAACTTATTTGGAATATTGCACACGTAAACTATGTACATGTTTCTGCAGTACTGCTCATGAAGTGGTGTGATGTAGTGTATTGGTGGAGGTGATGTAGTGTATTGGTGGAGATGATGAAGTGTATTGGTGGAGGTGATGTAGTGTATTGGTGGAGATGATGAAGTGTATTGGTGGAGATGATGAAGTGTATTGGTGGAGATGATGAAGTGTATTGGTGGAGATGATGAAGAAGACCTGTGATGGTGATGAAGTAGTCCTTGCCGCCATCGAGGTGCAGGACGAGGATGTCGTAGAGTTGCTCGGCGCCGCTCGCCAGGACCCAAGCGCTGCTCTTGTCCACCTTCACGTCCAGCCTCACCACGCAGTCACCACCTGCACCATTATTACCTTACACCACATCACGCAATCGCCATCAGCACCATTATTACATCACGCAGTGCCGTAAATCGTATATACCGGTTACATGAAATCGTATACAACTAGCCGATTTTGTCGAGCTTTAGTAGCATTGCATTTCCTTACAAACAAGCTTCACACCCGAGGCATAAATAATCATGTTGCTATAATTACCTGGCGGGATGAAGGCAGACTTGGGGTGTATCTTGAGCCAGGGTTTGCAGCATTCCTCGTCGTTAAGCTTCTTGATGAACGAAAACTGAACGGGAAACTGCATGGGTACAAGTACAGAGTTAACGAAATGCTTGACTATTAGTATTATTATTACATGAACGTATTAGTCTGAGTCATCTGGGCAAAGAAATGATTTAACATTGATTTAATTTAAGCTGACCTTTAAATTGAATGTATTAATTTGTAAATTGGAACAAGTTAAAATGACGAACAAGATCCACTGATATACCAAATAGGCTGTGAAGTGTGATATGCTGAGGAGGATCAATAATAAGGGGATGCTGAGTGGGAAGTTCCATGTAANACTGACCTGGCCCATGTTGCTGATGGTGGCCACAACTGACCTGGCCCGTGTTGCTGATGGTGGCCACAACTGACCTGGCCCGTGTTGCTGATGGTTATGGTCTCAGACTGCAGTTCGAGGAAGTGTACAGGGCTGAGGACGACCTCACTCTTGCTGAGGCTCACGCTCGGCAGGAACTCGTTCTCCATCTTGTCCAGCTGCTTCATAACCTCCTCATGGACACGCCGGTACTTTGCTTGGTCTATCACCTTCACCTGCAACCAAAAATAAATGTTAATAACAGCACTATGAATTTATAGTACCAGATTTCTTTGTGCATTACTTTGAAGGATGGAGTGCAGGACGAAAAAAAATTTTTTGGCAGCATATGAAATCAGAAAAAGGCACTGATTCTTCAGAAACTGCCAGTTATTTTGTAAAGAATAACGTAGGATAGATGTCAGTGAATAGAAAATGATTCAGGAATTTTTTTTAATTAAAACCATAGGGATTACCTGCGATGAGAAAGATGCAGAGACAGGCTTGTGGTCGCTGATCTTAAGAGCCATGTGCACCCTGTAGATGCGCTGCTCGATGCCCTCACCCGCCCACAGGATGCGGTCACACCACGCCGGCTGACGCTGCTTCTCACTGAACAAACAATTATATTAACTGCCACAAAATAAAGTTGCAGATAGAAATAAGGCAAGTTGAGAGATACATTAGGTCCGTAAAATAAGGAAATATGTAAAGTTAAAAAAAAAACAGATGAACTCAGAAATGAAAATAATTAAAAATTAGGTAAATGGTAAAAACAATACGGTGATGAACAATAAACTACCTATAACTGAAAATTAAATTAAACAATAATGAAAATAAATTAAACCAGGAGATAAATAAAGTTAAAATAGGATAAAAATGAAAATAAATCAAGTAAATCATTAGCAATGTTTAACATGAATTTTATTATTCAAAACATCCCTGTCCGCAGAGCACAAACAATCTCTATCACCTGCGATGAACTGAGTTAGTTAGACGATCCCTATGTGAGGCTAGTTCAAAAAAATATGGCTGGCATAGTGATCAATGATTACAATTCTACAGGTCACAAGAAAACAAAAACTGTCTTTCTGTTTAAAAGAAAGTACTGAGCAATGGGCAAGAGAATTACCAAGTTTTTCAATAATAATATAACTATTGAAATTGGATTGTGGTTTAGTTATACACTACGTGTTGTACTCCCTGACAATAGGGTAAGGTTATACACGGCAGGCAGTTGTACCTTGAGTCCCAAGAGTCCGTGTCTTTGTCATATTTGAACGTGGGCTGGAAGTTAATAGGTCCTTCTGAGTATCCTTTGAAGACGCGCCCTATCCTACGCTGCTGGTTGAGCTGGTCCAGCTTCAGCAGCGTCTCGTACTGGCCTGCCGATGCCAGCTTCCTGATGTTCACTTCAGGCGATGCTGATATGCGGTAGTTCATGTCTCCGAAGAAGTAAATGTGGCTGAAATGTAAGATCAGATCAACATTGAATGGTTTGGATTATGGTATATTCACGGAAATGCATAGTACTATATTACCAATCTAATAATATCCCTCTAGAATGCATAACATGGATGATAGAAATTTCATAACACTCTAATAAACAGAGATAACATAGTAATAGTGATCCTTTAAATGCATACAAGAATTATTCATGCACCAAAACGAAATAATATCGGAAACCTATATAGTCACATTCGCATCTAAGCAGCCCTGAGGCCACGTAGTACCTAGTATGTATCTATGTAGCCCCGAGGGCCCCATGCAGCGCACCTGTGGTCACGTATGTATCTTTGCAGCCCCGAGGGCCCCATGCAGCGCACCTGTGGTCACGTATGTATCTTTGCAGCCCTGAGGCCACGTAGTACCTAGTATGTATCTATGTAGCCCCGAGGGCCCCATGCAGCGCACCTGTGGTCACGTATGTATCTTTGCAGCCCTGAGGGCCCCACAAAGACGGTCTTCTCACAGATGCAGTCGTAGTCCTCATTGCGCCTCTCATATTCCTCGACGTGGGCCGCCAGGTGGCAGTTGACGAAGCACACCGACGTGTTGTACAGCTCCAGGCTCACTGACACGCCGCCTTTGTTGCCCTGCAATTAAGTACTTACAAAGTCACCCTTTCTTTCGGTGGAATAAAATACAAACTTTATTACATTATGTTTCCAGCTATAAAATTTTTTTCTTAATTTGCAGAGAGTAAATATTATAAGATCGTTACTATATAAGATCTTTTCAAACTGAAAATTCAATATTGCTATGGCAATTATTTGACACATTAAGCAAAGCTTTGCATGGTGTTAAAGGCAATTAATTTCCAAAAAATGGAAATCCAATTTCCAATAATTTAATTTGAATCCAATTAAATTACGTGACTCAATATAAATAACCACTATTCTTTATTCAAAATTTTGATCCCTGTCAATGGCTAAAACAGTTTCCTTAAAACTAATTCTGAAGGCTTGGCAAGCACTCATTGAACTAATTCACTGCACCAATAAATAAATTCTATGGACAGCAGGCCTTAAAAATTTTTAATAATAAATTATCTAGATAGGTTCTAGGAGTTGATTTTAAACTTCAAATTATTTGTATATTAATAAACACTGGATTACAGAAAAATATATTTCACACCCCTCTTGGGTTCTAAAGCCTATGAAGAATAATAATAATACCTGATTAGACTTATAGGTAATAATAATAATAATTAGACTGAGGATAATAATAATTAGACTGAGAATAATAATAATCAGACAAAGATTAATGATAATTAGACTTGAAATAATAGGGAAAGTTATGCTGTAAAAAATAATGTTCTCACAAGCATGTTCATGATGCCGGTGGGGACGGTACAAGCCTGGACCCTGGAGACATGCTTGGCATGTTTCTCCTGCACCAGCACCATGAGCAGCATACCCACCAGCCGCACCAGCTTCACCTCCACGTACCGTGCTGCAGGGTGCAGGCTGCTCAGCACTGCAGCTCTGCTCTCATCAACAAACTTATATCAAGTCAACGTCAAGTGTGAAATGTTGAAATTTTGTTGCCCAACTCTGATAGGAATATCAACTTGCCAGCAACATATTTTCAACTCAAAGTCGTGCACGCAAAATTGAAGATTTGTTGGTTAACACTACCAAGAATCTCAGCTCACAAATAAACATACTTCAACTCATGGTTTCATGAGAAAAGTTGAAGATTTATTAGCAAAACGGACGAGAATCTCAATTCAACAACTGACATTCTTAAACTTGAAGTCTCATGTGTAATATTGAAGGTTTGTTGGTCAACACTGACAAGAATTTCAAGGCCTACATCGCTTCTGCTGACAAGTGGGCAAAGAGTGCAATGAAAGGCGCGATGCATCGCTACCTTTATCTTTTCTTATTAAAAACCAACACACTGAGAAAAATGTATGCATTATATTTTCTGAATAGTGACACACTTTCTGCACGCAGCACCACACAAAGACAAAAACTTAACCGCTATTTGGACAAAGTCTCACTAATTTCTCTGTGTACAAGCTTTACTTTCAGTTCGTGAACTGACCGCCACTCGGGCTCCCTATTGGAGGCCTGGAAGATGTAGGCCTCGGTGGCGAGGTCGAGTTCCTGGAAGCCCAGGGCATACACGTCGGGAGGCTCAGGGTCCACAGCCAGCCACTCGATGAGACCGATGCTGGGCGGCACGCCGTTCACGTTCCACGTGCCCACGAACACCCTACGAGCGAGGCATACGTGATCATTTGGATATCTTGATGTCCATCAACTTGAATAGTATACAGTTGTGAGATGGTAAAATCAGAAATATCACACGTAAGTATTCAACATGGATGAATATACACAAATCTGCCAATTTCAAGTGAGAGCTGAAGTTGAACCACTCAGGATAATGACACGAAGTATGTAAGTAAGTATATAAATAAGTACCTAATGTAGATGAATAATGACAAGATGTATGTAAGAAATTATTTAACTAAGTAATGTATCTGACGTAAGAGGCAAGGCGTGAGTGTAGCTGCCCTGACGCTGCGCCATCATGTGCTGCACGTGGCTCTCTCGCGCCCCTGCCAGCACCGGCATCACCGCCGGCTTCTGATACATACATTCATAACATATTACTGATACAATACTGTTCAGTATTAGTAGTTACTGATACAATACTGTTCTGTATTTGTAGTTACTGGTACAATACTGCTCTATATTTGTAGTTACTGATACAATACTGTTCTGTATTTAGTAGTTACTGCTACAATACCAGTACTGTTCTATATTAGTAGTTACTGCTACAATACTCTTCAGGATTAGTAGTTACTGCTACAATACTGTTCTGTATTAGTAGTTACTGCTACAATACTATTTATTATAGTTCACTCTAGGCTCTTTTCATCATTAGCAAAAAATGCTTATCAATTTTTTGGTATGATTATTTAGTATCAAAGTCACGGGCATTCAGAGAGAAAATGCCGCAAAATAAGATGAAAATTAATAATATAGCTGCATAGAAATGTTTAGTCTTTCAGCAATTAATATTAAACACAACTTACATAAAATGTAGACTGATTAAGAGCAAAGTTATCAAGCGTGATATCTTTGACTCTCAGTAGATCTGCTTCATCTTCAGCAGCCAGAGACCCGCCAAGACCTCCCTTGTGTGAAGGTGAAGCTCTGTTGGCAACAACATCTCGGCCTGTCTCAATAAAGTTATCTCCCCCTGCACCGCCATCACTATTAACAGTTTGTGAGCCTCCATCAGCACCCTCAGGGGACATGCCAATAAGGTCTGCTACCAAACACGGACTTCCTCCCTCAATAGTGAATATTTGTTGTGAGTTTTGGTTGTGGTCTCCGGCAGCTGAAGGTTTACTGCTGCCACTGCTCGCACTGTTGTTAAGGTAAGGCTTGAGCCATGTGAACTCAGGGGTCGGGGCTTTTCTCTTGCTCACGCCTGTAATGAGAAGTAGGTACAACTTTGATACGGGAAAATATAGGTCAAATCGAGGATATATTGTTTGAAGAGATAAAGCAACACAAACTTGATTCAGAAGTATAAATAAAAGTAGTTAAGTGTTATCCATACCCTCTGCAGCCTTCATCACTTCAGACACAAATATGTTTGTTTTTTGGCTGAAGGTCATCTCGAAAAGAAGCTGGTGGCGCGACGAGGACAAACTCAGCAGGATGGCGCTCTGATTTCCGTCTGTGGTGATCATGAAGCAGTGAGAATAAGCACGTTGTTGTCAAGAATAGTGTTCAAATCTAATACACTTATTAGTGTTCAAATCTAAAATAGCTAATAGTGTTCAAATCTAACATAGCTTATAGGGTTCAAATCTAACATAGCTCAAGAGTCAGTGAGGAAAACTTTAATTATTTAATATCATAAGACCTGATACCATTACATTTGATTTACTGAAAAAGTCCACATCTTCAAATAATATTCAGAGAGCTATATAACTCATTTCAAAGCAATTGTATCATAATTAGAGTAATATAATAATTATAATTACATAATTTATTTTATAATAATTTTATTGCATTATAACAATCTTAATTTATTTTATAATAATCATTTTATTGCATTATAACAATCTCATTAGGCACGGAATTTTTTTTCTTGTTTTTAAGCACTGAGCTCCTGATCATGGAAATCATAGCTGCTTAATTAATTTCTCAGCAGAGTAAAGTAAGACAATGTTATTACTAAAAGCAAGTAAAAATATTTTGCTACATGTCAAATTACATGCAAGCTTTCTATCTACATGAACGTTATCAATCAGAATGGAATCATATATTCTGTTATCATCAATATCATCATACAAGCAAGTGTACTAACCAGTGAGGGCATAGCTACGGTGACTAATCTCGAGACCGTCTGCAAAGAAAGGCAACAATCTACTTCAGAGAACAAAAGCAACAGGCAGAAGACAAGCAAAGGATGGTGATGATTCACCATAGGCACAAGGCAGTCGGTTAAGTAGGGTGCTTGCAGAGAATGAATTATTCCATATGCAGCCAAACTAGCAAACAAAACTTTAGGTTAGAATAATGGCATCCACAATACATAGAATAAAACAAAGGTAGCTTTGAGTATATGGAATCATTCAACAACTACTAAGGACTTCTGATTCTGTCATAAGTATTCTCACAGCTCTTTCTCAGAAAGTATGACAAGTAAGTGCATACAAACCATATAAAAATTATTGAATGAGGCACTCAACATATAAACTATTTAGAACCAAGAACTACAAGTACAAATTTGTCATCATTTAAAAAAATTTCTGGACAATAAAAATCGGCAGACTGGTTCTGTATAAACAAGTGAAACTCCCTTCTTCTTCATCATAAATGTAGGTATAAATGTTATTGCAATTAATGTTCAAAAATATTTAATTATGTTACTAAGAACACTGAAAAAGCAATTAGAGAGCAGATTAGTAAATAACTGCATACCATGAAGAATTTTGCCATAAATGATAGATATTGATAGTTGTATTAGATATACAGATATATAAATGATCACAAAAAAGGCAAAGCAGAAGTGTAAATATTTAGCAAACAAACAACATGAACATAAATGTAAATGAGGTGCCCCATATGATGATAAACAGTGATGCAGCATCCAAAGTATGCATAAGTGCACATTAGTGAACATCAACAAAGTATCATACCTATGGTGTACTTGAACCTGGCATCAATGGGCAAAACAGATTCAATAAAAAACTGTGAGGGAGACGAAGGCAGGAACTCGGCAGTGCTGCACAGCACGAGCACAGCACGCTCAACTTCAACGGCTGGGACTGCACCTGAACGCTGCAGGTCATAGCAATACAAACCTTACTGGTTACATACTAAATTATTGAATTGTTATAAGACCTTAAGAAGTAAGGAAGTAAGGCAGAGTTGCTTGAGTAAGATCTTTTTATTTTAATACCTGCCGTTCTAAATCTTTGTAAAGACAGCAGTCAAGCAGCTTGGATATCATCCTCAGAACATAAATGCAATCCATCAGAACCTATGATAAGCTCTGACTAAACCAAATATTCTGATACTACAAGTATTCAGGGAAACAAGCAGTTAAAAATTTGTTTGTCACCACCAGAACTTATAATAATCTATTGACAATTCAATGAGAAATTCTTGAATTATTTTCAATACAGTGCACAAAGATATCAAATAAAAACTTACCAATTGTTTAGAGCCAACAGAATTGCCTTACTTGTTGTGCATTCACATTCAGCAAAGAAGTTAAACAATAGGAACTAACATTCAAGATGCTCATGCATTAAAATTAAAAAAATTATCGAAGGTATTTTCTGCCCATTTAAATCCATTTACTGGCTGAAACAATAGTTCTTTAACATGCCAAAAAAATTTAATTTTTTTGAGCAAATACATTAGGTGCTTCCATACAAATATTATGAACATAGATAGTTGAGTGCCAAAGTAGAATATGAATCTATATTAATATAGATTTTTGCAAATATCAGCCCACAATATTTTAACATGACCTAAACTTAGCCATTCATCTTAATGTTTACACTTGAGTTGGTTAAATACTCTTCACATTTTTTTATACAAGTCAGTTTTCTTTTTCTATGTATAACTGCATTTATTGCTGATTACTTTGTTAGCAGCAATGATGTCGAGATGAGCAGATACGTCAGCAGCCTCAAAGCCCTCAATGAGAGCCAGGGCTCTGTCTCTCTTGACAAACTCCTGGACAAGCCCAGCCTGTACTGCCTAGTGTCAGATGCATGGCAAGTGCTCAGGAAAATAGAGAAAACAAAGGAGCAACTCACTAAGTGAAATGACAATCAAAAATAATATAAGTAAATACAGGGTAGTTGCAAAGCTCAAACTATGCTGTATGCAGAACAGATGCCATTCAGAAAAATAAGGAATTGGCAAATATTGAGGCAGTTGCAATTTAAAAAACAAATTTTCCTAAATATAAACCAGGAACTACAATTTCAAAAACAAATGAATAAAAAATACTTCATACTATTTAGGTCATGCTCAAATTTCTTGAATAATCAATAAGACAATATTTTTATCTTGTTATACTTGCACAAAATTTTATGCTGTAAAATTCAACAATAAATTAAGAATTTGAGAAACTATGTACCGTAGATAGGTAATTATACATCAGATAATAATTAAACACAAGCATACAGAAATTTGTACAGATGCTATGAAAAAAAGAAGAAGATAAGTAATACAAATGACATGCATCAGTAAAGGATACAGCAATGAGCTTGTGGCCAGGCAAAAGCTTGTGTTTTACAAGTTCTTCAAGATCCATCACTGGCACATGGAACATCTTGGATTGTATAGCTGCAAGTCAGATGCTGGATGATCAATGGCCAAAATAAATAATATAGGGACTAGATAATGTATGATTTACACTATGTACAGAAGTTGACATAAGAACAGTACCAATCCAGATGGCTTTAGTGTTCAAGCTGCTGGATGTGCATGCCAGTGAGCTGACCACCAATGACCTCTTTTGACACAATAAGCATCTGGAGAAGAAAAAAAATCATCATAAAAAAATCATAAACATAATTCACAGAGACATTATTGTCACCAATAAGAACATCTCTCATTGGAAAATAAATAAATCCTATAACTATTAAGAATTTTAATTAGAATGTCCTCTGGAAACTATTAACATTGTTATAGGGTTAGAAGTGATGCCCATCATAGCCAAACCATACTGGTTTCTTGAATCTTCAAGTACCGCCAAACGGGGTAATAAGGGATGGATGGGATAAATTGGGACAGTCCTCCGTCATGGCAAAAAAATGTTATAGCAGCAAAAATAATTGAAATATTGCAAAACTAAAAATGGTGGCTTAAACTTCAACCTTTTTCCTATCTATGTAGCATAAGAAGTAGCGCAAGTGAAGAAATCATACATTTACTAGCTGTAAAAAATCCCTGAAGAAATGTTGAAAAGTGATATTTTGAAAAATACTTCAGTTAGGGTCTGTAGTAAAAAAATTTGCTGTATCAAAAAATTTTGCTTTAATAAAAAAATTGCAGACTGGTGTTGGCATTAGAACTTCATTGGTGGAATTTTTCTACCTCAATCTAAACAAATTGGTGGCAATTTTTGCAAGACAGAGTATAATAAGGGACACATCTATAAATGCATTTACTTTAGAACCTCAGTTATTGAAGGCTCCAGTTAACAAAAAAATTGATTAACAATAAAGAATTTTGATAATTTACCCTGCTCAGCAAAAAATCATTTAACAAAAAATTAATGCATCATTGGTCTCTACAAAATTGTGCATAGAATGTCATAGCTAGAATTGTGCACCAGGCAAAATAGAATGAAAAGTAATTAACCTAAAGTCCTAAACTATGATTTATTTCTCCAAAAATATGATGGCGGTCACTAAAATAATCCTTTTTGTTTCAGGTAAGTTTTTTTCAATCTTTTATGTTATAGTGAATTCATGTGAGTGATGTGACCCAACAAAAATGGTGGAAAATTACAAGCCCAGTCCTGTAAGCTTACAGATACAGAAGAAATGCTATACGGCTGCTGATATAAAGCTTGCAATGGACAAGGTTATTGTCACTGCTCAATGGCATGTCCATGAATTTGATTTTGTGGCACGGTGGGATTCTAGGAAATGATTGGTCATTTAGATCCACCAGGATGGTGGGAGGGCTCCAGCCTCCAGCTCTGCTCACTTGAGTAGTGTGGGTAAACAGGATGGCCGTGGCTCTCCAAGAAAAGCAAGTGGGCAGCAGCGGTGCAGCGCGCTCATTCTGCTGCAAATAGGAGTGGAACGACTGCGCTGCCACTGCTGCCGGCCTGCTCGTATTGGAGCACATGGCCATTTGGCTCCTATTGGCGCAAGTGCGCGCCTATTTTTGGCCACCGCCCTCCTCAATTACATAGGTACATGGTCATTTAGAAGGCATTTTGAATGTCACCATGTATATTTTGGTAATATCAAATTATTAATATGGTAATGTATGGATATGGTAATATCATATCAATATAAGAAAACAAGTACAAATTGCAGAAAATATCATTTATTCAACATCTACATCATCTACAAAGAGAGAGAAAGACTTCAGACTTTGGAGTAGTATATACTGTTAGTAATGAATAAGTATGACTCACTATGAGTACACTATGGGGTGCTTGAACTTTGAAGATTCAAGAAAAATGAAGGAAATAATTAGCATAAACCAGTTTAGTATCCTTGATGACTGACTATTATATTATCTTTTGGGCCAGATCAAGCAGAACTTCAACTTTTTATAAACACCAGGAATCCAGGATTATAAACTAAGGTCAGGTAAATCCTGACAAGGTTGAACTAATACAAGGTTGACCCACGCACAGGTGCGCCTTGCGCATTTCATTTGTTATTCCATGTATATCACCTTGGTTGTTGTGAAATCACCTGACACAATGTGACACCACATTGACCACAGTGTGATTCAAACTGATTTGTAACACCTGTTTTGCTTAAAATGAGACTACTAGACTAGTTCTAGTAAATAAATTTATCAGGCAATTTTAATAAGGTAAATTTGTTTCATGATTGAACTAATACAAGGTTTACCTAGTGGGGGACTGTGGCCCAGGGTCCTTAGTGTTAGTGCAGCTGCACCTTGCAGATGTCATTTTTTATTCCAACTGTGACATCACCTTGGGCTTGGCTCTTGTGAATTGCAATGTCACCTGGTCAGATCAAACTAATTTTTAAACCAGTTTTGCATAAAATATGACTAGTTGCATGCCATGGTCATGAAGATGTGCCAGGTGCGTGGGAATTTATTTTGTCATTTTAACGGCCTGCGCGGTGCGCCATACTATGCTGGTAAAAAAATGCGCCGTGCGCCGTACTTTAGAAAGCTAAAATAGTTCTACTATTTTAGTCGACAATATACGCGAGTAGGCCTATATTGACTACGCGAGTCGAACTGACAATAATAAAATGTAAGACATGTCCAGGTTACTTCTGACTCTTCCGCTTGTCCGCCTTGTCGGATAAGGAACGTACGGTAATCGTAAACTGCGGCTTTTATACATACGAAATGTAAACAGACGGTGTTCAGTGTTGCCATATGACTTTGGAGAAAATTTCTTCTAAAATAAAGTTCTAGATTTCTCATTCACCAAATTTCCGTATCAAGAAAAATCATATATTATTGAAAGATAATTAAAGGCATACTGTACTGAGTAATGTGAGTATTACGTCTGTTCCTCCACAAACTGCTCGTGCGCGGCAGCGCGACGTAGAATTGATGGCCAGGATTGCGCGAACACGTGCGCGAAGAGAATCAATTTTCATTACATAGCGCCAACTGTGCACAGCAATAGCTTAAAAAAGGTGAAAATGCGCGGGAAAATTCACCGAAAACATACATCATCCTGAGTGTGGGTTGCATGTAGTAAATACATTTTTTGGGCCATTTTGATGAGGTCAAATTTTTAATGCTTTCAAAGATGACATGAAAACAATGTGTTGATCTAGACTATTTATATTATGTGCTCACAGTGATGTTGCTCTAGACTCTAGAGATGCACAGAATGGTGCAAAATTGTCATCACTCAACACTCATCAGTCATCACTGTGGGGCATGCCAGCATGGGTCAACCTTATACGGTATTAGTTCAACCATGCATCCAGCCTCCAGGCATCATCTTATGCATAGACCACAATGACAGTGCCAGTGGCAAACAGGAAATTTTTTAGGATCAGTCATCATAGTATACAGTCAATCAGGTCATTTTCAATTCCCTCAACCCCTCATCTTATCAGGATTTAAAACAATATCTTTTGTACGGTTGTACGTACCTATGATAATGCTGTTATGAACTATACCTGTAATCCAATTCCAAGATAGGCTACTTAGGGTAAACGCGGTATATTCCGACATCGTAGGTAATTCCGTCACCTCTCCAGCTTTTCCTTTATATTAAGCTTTGTTTTAGTTCCATGCATTCATTGATGGTTGAAATGGTGACGTCATACATTTGCGTGTCGAAATACTGCAAAAACACTAG